GAGGCACGCTCGCGAGACAAGGCACAGGAAACAAACAGACAGACACAAAAAACCAACACGCCCAGTGCACTCCACAGTCTCCGTGCGGGGAGGGAACGCTCGAGCTAGCGGGCTTTTTTCAAAGTCATTTTCTTTCCTTCTCCAGAGTTATGTGGAGACACTAGATGGATCAATGAAGAGCGTTCGCTCTGAAGGTTTTCCTCTCTCAGAGCCTGCTTACAAAGGCATCTTCCCATTTGGGTCTTGGGGATTTCTCTTTCCCCCCCGCTCCCTGTTCCCCACTCTATCAAGATACCTTGCCTTTGCCAGGGTTTCTTATTCTACTGCATGTGTTCGGATAGCTGGTTCACTGATTTGATTATTACTACTGCTTTTTTTATGTAGCCTCATTTTTGGGTCAAGAGATGAGGGTTTTTGTTTCCCACTGAGACCTGTAGCTGCACTCTCTGCTTTTCAGATTACAGATTAATACTGGTAACTGTTCCACTTGATCTTACTCACAGCTTGGAGCCATCTCCATTCTGCTGCATCTTCTTTATTTTTACCCGAACTCATGTTCTCCCCTGCTCTCGCACCTCGGCTTCTCAAATCTGATTAGCTGTGGGTCACCTCTGTTCCAGTCGATCTTGCTTGTTTATTCGCGACCTTCCAGTCTTGTATTTTTTCCTTGAATTATTATTATTACTATTTTTTAGGAGATGAATTCCCACCCCCTCTGCATTTTAGAGCTGTGTGTATCAAATCCAAGACCGCTCAATCTTCTCAACAGTGCAAAAGCAGGTGAGGATTGCGCCAGAACCAGATGGCAGGCATTGCACTTCCCTTCCACTGACAGAAATGGCCACAGAAGGGGTATGGGCTAATTTTAAATGCATCCCTGTGACTGCACTTTCCTCCCTGAGCACCTTCAGCTGCTTTCTCCTCTATCCCTTCCACTCCATGCACATTCTGGAGAGGCAGGAAGGAGAAGTGTGTGGGCTGGTGAATGGCAGTGGAGCAGCAGCTGTACTGTTAGCCTGGCAGCAAATACTCAACATTTGTAGCTACACAATGAAGAAAGTTTGCTAGGAGGAAGTGGAGGACAGAGGCTTGCTCAGATCTTTTCTTGCTCACAGGAAGTTTTTCATAGACATTAGAGCTTATAGTTTCATGGTAGTCATAGTAGCTAGGGTCAGGAGGGACCTGAACAGATCATCTAGCCTGACCCCCTGCCACAGGCAGGGATGAAAGCTGGGGTTACAGGAATGGATGCTGGGTTCACAAGACCCCAGACAGGTGATCACACAACCTCCTCTTGAATTTGCCCAAGGTAGGGGCGAGGACCACTTCCCTGGGGAGTTGGTTCTGGATTTTGGCCACCCTAACTGTAAAATATTGCCTTCTGATCTCTAACCTAAACCTATTCTCCATCAGCTTATGACCATTGCTCCTTGTCACCCCAGGTGGTGCTGGGGAGAAAAGAGCTCTGCCTATTTGCTGTTGACCCCCCCTGATGAGCTTGTAGGCAGCCACCAGGTCTCAAAATTCTTTACTTTCCAAGGTCAGTGTCAGACAATGCCAGAATTATCATTCAAGTTATAGCAGAGTACACAGAATAGCTAACTACCAGCCCATACTGAACAGCCCAAGGATTTTTTCTTTCTGGATTCACCTTTATTTTAAAAATTACCAACACAACCTAACACAATTCAGCCTACAAGGATACAGAAAATATGTCTAAACCAGTACTGACTCAGGCTTGCATTTTAAAAGCTGTCCAAGCATCTCTCTCCTTTTAAATCTCAAAACCCTCCTTTTGAGCAAATACCTAAGAAAAAGCAGAAACTTTTTTTTTTTTGCTTATTAAATATTTGCCACTTAATGCATATTTGAGACATGGCCATTTTTTTTGGATAAGCTCTGAATCCATGTAGAGGTAAACTACTGAGTCTCCAACAAGGTATCAAGGACCTACAAACCTACTGAAATAATTTTCTGAAATAATTACTGAAAAGCTGAAAGGGACCTTGGAAGATCATCTAGTCCAGCCCCGAGTTATTACTCTCAGCATGGGCTGAGAGCTAATACATTTACTTGGTTTGGAGTTGGCCAACCAAAATGTGAGTTCCCGTCAGCAAAGCTTGAGGGGAAGAACGGTGAACTTGGAAGCAGAGACGTAGGCTGGCACATCTTACGGTTAGGGCTTCACCTTGCCAAGGACCTGCTGCAGGTGAGGAGCCACCAGCCTTGTTTGCATGCCAGAAATGGCTGCTCTCCAATATGCATAGGACATTACTATGCTCAGAAATTAATTAGCAGCATGTCACTTGCTTTCCCCCAACCCTTTCCTTAGTCCACCCCTTCCAAAGCCAAGATCACAGTTACTCTAACTCACCTTGTATGCTCTTGGCTATCTAGGTGGATTAAGCCTTTGATTTCTGAATGGGCCTTGGACAGAAGTGGACACCCAAGGCACCAGTTATTGATAGCAAGGCCTCTGACAGTGACCCCTCTACACCTCATACCCTGGACAGGGTTCTGTGTACTTCATATGCCTTTGGAAAATCCCACACCACATGCCCTGTGGGTAGGTAAGCATACCATGGTCATCAGCCCTGTGCTCCTCCAGGCATGTCTGACAGCCTTCAAGCACACCTCTCCCCCATGCGCTGGAAGAGGCTCCTTGTCTTCAAGCATACTCCTGCCCCACTCCATTGTACTTGAGGCATCCTTTAAGCACACGGTTGCCCTGCCTGTGCCCCACCCTGGCCTTTAACATGCTCCTGGGAACTTCATGGGTGAAGACCATGTCCCTCCCACTACCAGACCGAACCCAGTCTATGTATACTGCCTCAAAAAGATGGGAGATGAAAGACTGCCAATCAGACTGCATCAGATGGTGGTTTTCTAATAAAAAAGCATGTCAAGTAGGGACTGAGCCAAGCTTGTTATGCTTACGTGGGTTGTACTCCAAATCAGGGTTAACCTCTCCCTGCTCCATCCACAGCTAGAGGTGCATGCTGAGATGCCACGGCTCATCCTAAGTGCCTGCAGCCCTTGCTGTAATAACTCTGTGCCTTTCTAAAGCACTTTTGTCCAGATCACCTTCCAAACAGTGCTATGCCTTCCAGGTATGATATCTCTCAAATGCAGGCAATTCTGGGCTGAAACATGATGGCTGTCAAACAGTTCACAGCAGCACTAGACCTGAGGCTTATGTTTAGAAGGGAAAGTGAAGTCTATCTGCAGGACTATCCAGGTAAGATATAACTAGCAGAAAAGGAATTTAACCCCTCCTGCAGGGGCAGAGTCTGATCTGAAAGCAGTAGCAAAACGCTGAGCAGCAATTACGAGTTAATTTAGAAGTGACAATGGAACCGTGTCTAGACACTGTCAGATTAAACGGCAGACACTTGAATAGCAAAGAGCAGGATTGTTTTTAATCATTCCCTTGGATTGGATAAAACAAAGGATTTAAGAACCTGATTTCCGTCCTATCAATTCCATTTGCGAAGAAAACAATGAAAACAGCCGCTCTGTAGATAGCGCGGAGGTTTCATTTAGCTTCGCTTTCTAGTTTTCAGGCACCGCTTCAGCGCTGTCAGGTTTAACTTGCAGGTTCCGCATGGGGGGTGTCTATGGCTGGAAAGCTGTTTTTATTGGAATTTAAATGACAAAGGAATGGAAACCTTGCTACTGATCACAGATTGTTTAAAAAAAAAAAAAACACCAAAAAAGCAGCGCCCCCCCCATCCCACTCCAGTCCCCAAATATGCAGGTCTCTTTCAAACCGACAGTGTCCCTTTAAAGGTGGCCAGCAAAGGGGAGTGCATCCTGGCATTGCGCCCCTTGCTACTCCTTTATCATGTATAAAGGCAGCTGGGTTTTGCCATCTAAAACGCCTTCAAGAAGCTTTTCCTTTTGCTTATTTGCATGATGTTTTGTTTTTAAACAGACCTAATGGGAAAAAAAAACCCAACAAGACATGAAGGCTCTGGTCTTTGCTTTCACCAGAGGACTGGCTGCTGTCTCAGGAAAAAAAAACATTTTGACTTTGCTCGAATGTCAGGATTGTCAACAAAGGGAACTTTTCTTTTGACTGTTTGCAGCATGTTTGAGTCCAAGAGTAATCATTGGGCTTCTCCTTTTTGGGGGGAGTAATATGAAAAAATCAACTGAGAGTCCCAGTGGTCCATAGCATCTCCCGGTGGAGACCAGGGTTGGGTTTCTAATGGAAACATCACCCACACTATATGTTCCTTTTTCAGTACATCTTAAAGGAATTGAGGGAAAAGGGCACACACCAAGTCTGACTCCCTTTGCAGGTCACCTTTAAGTCAGCACTCTCATTCATCTGTTAGCGTTGCACCCTCTGGTTGTTCCTATTTTATATGTGCCTTGAGATGGTTTTCTTTAACATAAAGAGCGAAGAAGGGCCAAATTCAAACTTGGCACAAGCAACTCAGCTTCACTGAGGTCTGCGGAGCAGGGCTGAGATTGGCTGCATGTGGCGAACTTCCCCTTACAGAGGTCCTCCTCATGATCCAAACCCACTGGATGCACTTTACAGCCTCTCCCACTTTGAACTTATAAACTTTGTGGCCTCCTGAGACCTATTGACAGTCCTTTGCCTGGAACTGTCAATGATCCAGAAGGATGTCATGTCCCTTGTTATATTTGTCTGATCTGCAGAAATGAATTAGGGGCCCATTTGACCAGAATAAATAAATCTGCTTGCTGGGCAGTGCTGAAAGCAGCACGTGCATCTACTAACCTGGAATACACTTGGTCAGATTGACTTTTGCAGAGATTGAACTGAGGCAGAAAAAAAAACCCCAAACACACCCTGTGCCTAATCCACTCCATCCTTTCCTTGCTAAGCACAAATCCCTGGCCTTAAAACTACTCACGCTTGCCCTTTTGGACTCATCTAGCAGCTGGCCATTAGTCTTAACCAGCCTATGAGGCAAAGGCATTGGGGGTGTTGCAAGCAAATGAAGGAAGGAACATGCTGTACCAACCTGCTAGTGCTGTGGGCTCACTTTCTAAAACAGAGGACAATGGACACAGAAGGAGAGAGAACAGAGAACAGAAAGGGGGGAGAAAAAAAAGAAAACACATAGTTCATATCTGCAGACAGTTGATGGATGCATGCTCATTAGAATGGTGATCTCGCCACACACAGCACACATGGCGGTGATGTGGATGCAGCTGACGTGGTAACACACAAGACAGACACTGAGGCACGGCAACCATCGGAAACGTGACACCTCTCTTTCCACGCGTCCCACAAGCCGGACTCGTGTCCAGTTGTTTCAGCAATGCAAGTCTACTGGGGAATCAGCTAGTCCTGCTCTGCTTGGGGATTAACCCAAACACCTGCTCTCTGCCAGTATGTGGAATCTATATATCCAAGGCTCATACATAGCTGGATTTGCAGATGCTACGTAAGACTGGCAGGTGACCAAGATAGCTCCTCACATGGGACCCAGGTGTGGCTAGGAAACTGTACTCAGTGCCTTCTGTGTGACATCACTTTTCAGGACAAAAATGCGGCTTTAAAGGGAGACTCCAGAGCAACTGTGATGCTCCCTTAGGGGGAAATGGTGGCAGAGCCTGCTGGCGGGGACCCTGTACCTGGCTTAGACATGAAGATGAAACCAGGTTTGTGGAAGGACAAATTGGTGACAGGACCCACTAGAGAACCCCCCCGCTTCCCCATCCAGTCTGGGGAACCAGGCTTGGGCTAACTCGCTTGGGCTGCTAATCCTCCTGGCTGCTTGTTCGCTCGGTGCGTCCCAGTTTACCCACATACAAGAGGAGGGTGGATGATAGCCCCTGCCACTCCCCGAGTGCTGCTTCCTTTCTGCTTGCATTGTGTTTTAAAGATGTGAGGCCCTCTTCTGAGCTCAGTGGGTTTATAATGCATCACATAGTACTGATGCTGTGGTTGAGAGGGAGAGTAAGGGCCTTCATTTTCACTAGCCTCCTGTGAGGGATACATCACATTTAGATGCTGGCAAATAAACAGGGCTGGGCTCCTCTTGCCTTTGAAGGGCAGTGAATGACACAGGCAGACTCTGGTTTCTTGGGATCGGTCTCCCAGACACAGGTACACTGGGGTGTGCAGGGCAGGAGGCTCAATAATGGAGTAACACCCTTCTTTTGCTTTGCCATATAGTTCACCCCAGCTGTGGAAGAGCCAACACTGAGCTACTGCCCCTTCCCACCCCCATGTAAACCCTGGAGCTGGCATGCTCAAAGCATCATGTCAGCACTTTGCCTATAGTTGAACTTTGCCTTCCCCGTGAGTGGACAGATGTGCAAGGAGCTTTGGATTAATGCTTGGCAGTTAATCCAGCTCCCTTTGAGTGCTGGTAGGAGCACAGCCAGAGCACAGGCTCTGCCCCTCAGACCTACCATACAGGATTATACTGGCATTGGTGATCCCCAGCTTGTTAGTGGCCACGCAGGTGTAGTTGCCGTAGTCCTTTTCTGAGACATTGAAGAAGGTCAGCGTGGACATTTGGCCTTTGTTCTCGATTCGCACTCCGTCTAGCCCATTGGCTAATCTGCAGGGCAGCAAGGACATTGGCTAAGGGCTAGTACCAAGGGGGTTGGTTCCCTTCCCCAACATTTCTGTACATGCTGTTACAGGCCAAGGATGGAGCTCTCCCCCCTGGCATGAGCTCTCTGCTGCAGGCTCCCTGGATCAGGCACCCTGCGGACTGTTTCCCAGCAGCCAGGTCACTTGATCAGGTGTGACTGGGAGACTCAGTCAGTCTAAAGCATGAGCTGCTTTGCCCATTCTGCCCAGTTTACACCAGCCGAGGATCCATCACAGAGGTTTCCTAGGACAGGATCCTTTCTACCAGGTGACCGAGAGAAAATACTCCTTGCTAAGGGGACCTACCCTGCTACTCCTGACCCCTTTTTCAGCCTCAAGCCTGAGGCTGCTCCTGTTAGGCTATGGCAGGAGTTCTTTCTTTACTAAATACCTCAATGCATCTTCTACTGAACTCTTTAATTATAGGGAAGAGACTTGCAGCAAGCTCCCCAGGCTCTCTGTATGAAATGTCTTAGAAGGTAGTGTAATGATCACTCTTTTTGTTATTGCGCCAAATGGCCCCACCTGACCCCAGATATCGGGCATGCCAAGCTCACCCCAAGGGCACAGCGCGTGAGCTCGTAGTTCCCCTTAGCAGCTTGCTTTCACTTAGGTACCTGGTGTCTTCTTTGAACCACTGGAATTCAGCCACGGGCACGGCAACGGCTTCGCAGCGCAGGATGCCCTTCTGGCCAACCGAGGCGCCAGTGTTCTTGGTGTTGGAGATGTACGGTGGGTCTGCAAAGCAAGGAGATGTTAGCCCAGATGGAGGGGCCCATCCAGAGGGCTGCCAACATGGGGCACCATCTCGTCCAGCTGGGCACCCCCAGGAAGTGGCAGGATATGGAGCCACCTCATTGAAAGCTGGGTGGCATCCAGCGTGGGGAGGACATGGCTCTGGCTCTGCTGTGGCGGCAGTATAGATCACTGAGCCTTGACAGACGGGATGCGTGCTTGGCTCCCACTGTTTTGCTTGGTCCTTTCTCTTGTTCCTTGTAGTCCTTCATCCCCCTTTGCCCCATGTTCTCCCATTTACCTCCGAGTGCCTCCTCTCCTTTATGGGCTGGGAAGAGGATATAGCACTTCTCTTTGGATTAGGGACAGGATAAATTAGGGTGGAGAGAGAGAGGACCACATAGGACCATCCTTTTTACCCGAGCTGACCCCAGCTGGCAGCAAGGAAGGCATGTGCAGAGGCTGCTGGGCTTGGCAGCCATGCAAGTGGCAGAAGGTATGCCACCCACTAGACATTTGGAGGACGACTGGCACCTGAATCACCCTGAGTGTAGCCTGTTACCAACACGGTTCAGAGCTTCTCAGGCCAACCTTCTGCCTTCTAGCCATCACTGCCAAAAAGGCACTTGTCGCACCCCTTAGACATAGTGTGGGGGGGAGGATGTGGGGGCAGATGGATGCAGTGTACAGGGCTGCTGAGCTAACACAGCCACACTTGGAAATGAATATGGGGACTTCCAGGTGTAAGTCTGGGGCCTCTGGTCTGTACTGTTCCCCTCCCTCAACCACATGACTTCAGATGGGATGCAGGCATGTCACAGCATTTATGGTCAAGAGTGACCACTGGCTTCTTCATGTTGACCCTTTGTCTGCCAGAAACCATTAAATATTTCCTTTGCATATAGCACTGTGGTGTTCATGAAACCAAAAGATTTGTGGCCTCAGGAAATTAAACTTGAGTGTGCTGCAGGCTGAAGAGAGACAGGTGCCACCAATGCATGGAGCCACGGCAGGTAAAGAGCAGCTAAGGAGAGGTGTGCCCAGACACACCATGGGAACAGTGCCCCAGAGAAAGCAGGGAAACCCCCCATGATCTCAGCTACTTTGAGCTGGAGGAAAGTATCCTTCCTGAATACAACTGTGGTGACCAAGGTGACCTTGTGCCAGGCATGCTGCTCAGGTCTGGGAAGCCCTGGAATGATCTGCAGTGCCTCAGAGCTCGGATCAAATCCCAAAGCATCAAAGAAGGCAGAGGAAAAGGAAGCAGGAGTTAATCTGGCCATTTCTGTACTGGGGAGTATCCCTCCAATGAACAAGTGTGTTTGTTAGCTCGTACATCACCTCAGTCCAGTGCCTGATGGCAACCCTCTGCTAGTCTTAATGCAAACAAGGCAAGTATTCAAAATCTGCTCAGGGTAATCCTGTACTCTCCATAGTCCCTGAGGGGAAGGGGATGAACGGGCGGCACAGATTGTAGGACCTGTCGTGACCACCAGCTGGATTAATTTATCACTTCAGAATGATAACAAATCTTGTTTTAAAGACTCCAAGCAGCAGTGAGTCCATCACCTCCTCCCTGGCAATGAGTTCCAGTGTTTGCTCAGCCTCCCCGTTAAGCAATTGTTTTATTTCAAGCTTGAATTTGTCTAACTTGAGGCTGTTGGTGCCTGCTTCGCTTCTGTTAGCAAGTGAGAAAGCCCTCCACGCTCTTCTCCATGGAAGAAGTACCTCTGCACAGTGGCTGAGTCACCTCTTCACTTCCCTTGTGCTAAACTCTTCGAGGTGCTATGGTTCACATCACAAGGCTTGTTTGCCCCCCTTGTTGGTACATGGCAATGTTCAGATCTCTCTCCTAACTTGCACACTTACTCAGAGACACATTTTGCAGTACTGTGTTAAATACTTAGCTCAGCTTTGTAATGCTTTGTTAATTATGTCTAGCGCCTGGCTAAACTTGGCATGGCCTTTAGCTTAATTGCCTTTGCTGAGAATTGTCTGGTCAGGGTCTTTCTCCTCTATATTGAATCATCTGGATTGTGTGAGTTTTCAGCCCTTTCATGCTGCTACTTTCAAGAGTGCAAGACGGTTACCAGTAAAAACTACTGGCGTGACTGGTATTGTGGTATTTTCGGCTACTTCCCTTTTCAAAAGAAGCGCGTGGGGATGAGCTAATTCTGTACGACTATGCTGATAAAGGTTGGCTCTAAAGGAGGTCACATTGAGCTTGCAGCACTGCAGCTTAGTCTTGAAGCAACACACCACAGTTTGGTAATATATGGACGCTTTCTTACAAGCCAGCACTACCTGCCTGGTGCTGGGCTGCTCAACTTTCTTTTAGCTAACAATGTTCTCTTAAACCTTGCCCCACCTTTGCATGCCCTTTCTGATGTATGGACACCAGCAACATCTTTGCTATCCCTTGCCTGGAGCAAAATTGCTTCCATATGTCTGCAGGCAGACATGTCATATAGCCAAGGACTCACATACAGCAAAAAAAAAGATGTCCCATGGCAGCAATTAACCGTTAAATGAAGGACCCTGCCACTGGCAGCATATACATAAATGCATTTTGATGGAGTGTGGCCATTCAGCCAAGTCACAGAGATCTCTCTTCAGCTTTAACTTGTCCTCAGTGGGTGCATCTACACAAGATGTTGACTGCAGAATTGCCTAATTAGCTTTCTAGTAGAGTCTACACGTGTGGCCCTATTAGGTTAGTAAACTAATAAAAGCCGCCATAAGTTAGTATTTGTAAACGCAAGTACTATCCTACGGCAGTTTTATTTAGTGCACAGATATGTGTAGATGCTGACGTGACTGACTGGGGCACAAGGGTGCTTCAGTGTGGAGGCGGCCTGCTGGCTAGCCCTGCACTGGGGCATCCTTGTGCCCCAGCCAGGCCCTTCACAGCACACTGAGCTGGGTCAGAGCAGCCCCGGGCTGGCAGGCTGATCCCCCAGACCCCGTGCCACTTGGGGCTGTTCTGACCCGGCTCAGCGTGATGTAGTCCCAGGCGCACGTGTAAACCCGGTGCCTGAGAGCAACAAACTCTGGCATGATATGCGCTGGAGTTTATTGTGTCACATTAATTGCACATGTAGATACACCCAGTATGCATAACTCAGAAATCTGTGCCATCTTCACGCTTCTTGGCAATGATGATGAAAATTATACGAAAAGCAAGAGACCCCAAATTGTTTCATAGTTTCTAGGGTCGGAAGGGACCTGAACAGATCATCAAGTCTGACCCCCTGCCCTGGGTGCTGGGATCATAATACCCCAGCCAGATATCTACCCAACCTCCTCTTGAAGACCGCCAGGGTAGGGGAGAGCACCACCTCCCTCCCTTGGGAGCCCATTCCAGAGCCTGGCAGCCCTAACCATGAAGTAATGCCTCCTGATATCAAGCCTGAACCTGTTCTCAATCAATTTGTGGCTGTTATTCCTTGTTATCCCAGGTGGTGCGCGGGGGGAACAGAGCCTCACCTGTTTTCCGCTGGTCTCCCCTGGTGAGTTTATAGACAGCCACCAGATCCCCTCTCAGTCTTCTCTTGTGGAGGCTGAATAGATTCAGGCCCTTTAGTCTCTCTTCACAGGGCCTGCCCTGCTGCCCCCTGACCATGTGAGAGGCCCTCCTCTGGACCCTGTCAATGCTAGCCACATCCCACTTGAAGAACTGGACGCAGTACTCCAACTGCGGCCTGACCAGTGCCGCATGGTCTCTATTGTACATGGCCTGACAACAGAGGAGCTCTGGGATGGATGGTACTGAAAATCCTGGATTTCTCCAGTCTGTGCTTGACACAATAAATTGAAATGGGGCTTATGTAGCCACTGCACCTTCCAAGGCACAGGTCGAGCCTCTAATTTGCTCTACATGTTGAGATGGTTGTGAATAATGATGGGACGTGCTGTTCCCTCCCAGACCCTCGCTGGAACTTCATAAGCACTGTGCTGTAGCAGGACGTGCAATGCTCAACACTACCAGGCTATGCTGTCTGTATAAGACTGGCTTATTAAGATTGAAACCAACTTTCCAAATTGGGTGCAGAGACTGGCCTGGAAAACCTGAGGCTTGCAGGTTGCTTTAGTCTCTACGTACCTCTGAGTGGGACGTGTCAAACAGGGAAGTTGAGTTCTAGTGTCAGTCTCCTGAACCAGTAAGTGGTTAAGATGTTTCCTGTTATCCTAACTTCAACATTTTGATTAGCTTCCTGACTACAAAAATGTGTACAGAATAGTCTAAATTAATCTTATTTCAGATTCTGGACCGTTTTTACCATTGCTGGTTAAATGACTAACGAACTCCCCTGTAAGCCAGCCGTCTTTTTTAATAACTTCGCAATGGGAGTTCATAGGTGGCTGTTTCTGCCTGGAATGGCCTGGCTTCAGCTGCCTGTCACAATAATCACTTCTCGCACAGCACGGAGGATGCAGCAGACACAGAAATGAGTCATCTGCAGTCGCTCTGGCAAATCTTTGTCAACTATCTGGCATAAATCATTGGCCTCCACAGCATTGGAAGTGATGTGCATTTCCTGTACCATAGCAAATTTCAGAGGTTGGATAAGCCTAAACCCAACCCAAACTCCCCTGCTCCCTCCTCCTCCTCAGTTTTGAAAACTTTCCAGGAGAGCAACTTGCTCTTTATGGGGGGAAAGGGTTCTTAACAGGTGTGACAATTCCCTAGCTATAAAATTGCTGTCATCTCTTTCCTGTCAATGTGCTTACAGGACCATTCAGGACTTGGTTTTGCAATAATAGCTCCTTCTCCTGAGCAGCAGAATATCAGACCCCAAATGTCCTGACACAACTGAAGGACAACAGGGAGGCAGGCGTCCTGCACACCCCCACCAGGCCAGGGTGACGGTATAATGAACACACTACGAATTGCACCTACCCCCGAGATTACAGGTGGGTGAAGCCTGGATGAGCCTGCCCAGTGCAGCGATCCCACATCTGGTGTGAGGGCAGGACAATCACAGAGAAGGTCTCGGTGAGCTTTGCTGTACTTACAGTTCACGGTGACCTTTACTTTCCGGATGTCTGGAGCTGCCACGTCGTTGACAGCGCTGCACTCATACTCCCCGGACTGATCCCTGGTGATCCCCGTGATCTCCAGGTACTCATCTTCACTCACAAAGCCCCGGCCTGAAAGGAGAAGCACAGAGAAAGAGCAACGCATGAACCCATGGTCTCTACACCCTCTCGTTAGTGGGACCAGAACCAGATGCTCTGAACCAAGGGGACTCTGGGGACCTGCTCTTCATCACTTAGACTGGTGCTGTATTTTTAAAGGACCACTACCTAAGTGAAAAACCTCAGGCACAAGAATGGATGGGGGATGAAGGATAGAAGCCAGGAAACAATACCCCAGTATGGAGGCAGCACAAGGGCTGCTGTAACCACGTCTGGACCAGGTAGAGGAGCCTGTGGGGCTTTATGCTACAGTCATCCTGGGCTGCTCTACACACCCCAGGGAGCCCTGGAGAGGTCACCACAAATTAGAACAACCCTTGCCGGTTCCTGGAGTTATGCCTGGAGACACCTGAGTAGTCCAGAGAGTGTGAAATGTATTTGCAGTCACATTTGGGAATGTAGAAAGGGGCCTTCCATGTCACTGAGCCCACTGGCAGGCAACCAACCGTCCTAAAAATCCCCAAGATATCACTTCACACACGAGCCACGCAGCACCCAAAATTTTAACACCATGCCCCAGGCAAAGAGGAGATGGGCACAGCCAGTTCCTCCTGCCCGTGCAAGGGCAGGGGATTTGTTAGGGTGATTAGTGCTCAGATGACCATAGGAAGAAGACCATGCAGGTGGTGCAGAAGAAGGCAAAAAAATCCCATAGTCTTGGCTAATGATATCAGAGGGAAAATTGCACTGTAAATCCAAATCTGGCGAGGACAATAACTAAACCCACCTGCCTGAGTGGTTTCCCAGCACTAATGGATCCCGGCCAGTCTCCCATCCCTAACTGTGACCAATGTTTAATGCTTCAGGGGAAGGTGAAAGAAAACCCTCAGGAGCCCACTTAAGGGGGAAAAATAAATCTTTCAGCCCCCCCAAGAACTGAGTCCCTGAAGCATGGGATTAATAGAATATGACATGGTAGAATAAGTATTGCAAGCAGGTGAAACATTTAAGAATCAGAAAAAATTATACAAGGATCGAAAATGTAATTCAGAAAGAGCTACTGGACCTGCCCAGTGCACACACAACACCCCCACCCCCAATAATATGAGCTCACTTCAAGAATACCAGCATATTGCAAACCTGCCCCTCCAAAGCAAAGCTGTGGAGGTATTCAGCCTCTAGCACCACAAAGGAGTTGAGAAACACTGCATCACCATACGCCTCCCTCCCACACATGCAGGCAACTCAGCCAACAGTGAAGTTTCCTTTCGACCCCCTTTCCCCACTGGTGGGGACACCAAACACTCCCATTACATGCTCTGATTATAATTCCAAAAACACCACTCCCCTACCCATACCGTGCCATCCATAAACTTGTCAAGGTCCAGCTTAAAGCCATTTGGGTCCCTTGCCCCCCCACGCATTGGTGAGAAGACCATTTCAGAACTTCATTCCTCTAATGGTCAGAAATCATATCTACCTCAAGACGCATTGCAAAGAGCAACTGTATCTCCTCTCAACTTTTGTTTTGCTAAGGGGAACCACACAAACAGTTTAAAGCTATGGACAGACATTCAAAAAGCCCAAGCCTGAATTGATTCACTCTTTGCAGGTTAGTCTAAGCCGCACAGTTTAAACTGATTACTAGTGGGACAGACATGCTCTGTTAAACCAGGTAATGCAGGCATGTGCCTGCAGTGGCTCAAGCCAGATGCTTGGGGTGCTAGAGCATGCCATGCCTGTCAAAGGGGAGGGAAGCGAGACGCCCTCCAAGGTGCTCACCTCCCTGCTAGAGTGGAGGGGGTATGGCCAGGCACCAGCCGGGGCTAGCACACAGGGGATGGGGAAAAAGTCCTTTCTCTGAAGCAAGGTATTGAACCCAGCAATTTGCAAAGCATACAACAGGGAGCTACCAAAAATCTTTGCCTAAGCTAAGATACAGCCCAGTAAAACACAGCATACACAATTTAGTCTAACTTAAAATGTAAACCAGAAAGACAAGAGTTAGTGTTACTGATCCTGAGGGCACAGTGTCTCCTTGCAGCCTGGCATTCAGAAAGGCTTTGTTTACATGGCAGCAGCGAGGGGAACAACTCTGCATCACCACCCCTGCTGCTGCCGGGTGGGCAGGGGGCATCTCGCCATGGTGGCATGGGACTCACAGCGGTGGCATCAAGCTTCCCTGCCCAGCCCTGCTGCGGTGTGTTCTGCCTGCTGGGCTGCAGAGGCCCCAGGGAGAGGGCAGCAGGACAGGGAGCCCGAGCCCGCAGCGGGCAGCCCACGCCCATTCCCCCGCAATGGGCTCCACTCCAGCTGTGCCCCCGCCTTGGGGGAGGGGGAGCCAGGGTCTGTGCTCTGTGGGGGTGGCAGCTGGGGCTCAGGCTCGGCTGTGGGGGGCAGTGGGCTGCAGCCCTGGGTCTCTGGCCCCATAGCCCTGGCAACTGGGGGCCCCCTTTGGCAGGGCTGGGGGGAGGGGGGTTGTGGGTCAGGAGTGAGGAGCAATGGCACGGGCAGGGCACTGGCATATCATGGCTCCTCAGCATCACAAACCAGCAGTGGGGGACAGCTGCAGCTAGACCCAGGTCCTGGTGAGCAAAGCGGGCAGGGAGAGCTCTAATTTTTCATGATAAAAAACCCAAAATCAAATGCCAAAATGAATAGGTATTCAGAACGTATTTTACTATAGTGACTGAGGTATTGGTAGGCCTCCAAATTGCTTTAAAATTATAAAATTATATATATATATATATATATAGTGGTGTTTCATTTTAATTGTGGATTTTGGCGGGGGTTAAGCCGAGAATTTGCGATTTTTAAACAGAGAAAAACCAGGATCTACGATAATGACATTGTCCTTTTGCCCACCCGGGGCTCTTGGAAGGCGACACCGCAAACCGTGGTAAAGTGCTATAAAGAAAGAAACGTATTCTGCTGGGCACATAAGGATTTATGCAGGCACCTCTCCACACATTACAGAGAGGAGGACGGATTCCGCTGTAATGGTGACATGACTTATTTGCAGCATTTATACCAAGGAAACGGTCCATAGTAGCAATACTGTAAATTATTGGAGAACAGCAAACGCCACTCATTGTGTGATGTTTATCACCCAGTCTTTACAGGCTAAAGGTTGATACTGTACTCACCCCTAATGCCAGTGTGGTTATAGTTGTTATTATTATTATTAATCTTATTTATTACGATAGCACTTCGGGACCAAGCAAGGCACTGTTCAGACACGCAGGGAAGTAGGCTCTTCTCTGACGAGCTTATGATCTAAATACGTGTCGCGCTGTGTTGTAGAAGATGCCCTGCTGCTCGGCTTTCCGAATGGCCCTGGGTTCTAGTAACAGGCTCTCAAATTTGCTAAGTTCCTTTGTGCTGATGAAACACTCGGGGAGAGTCACGTAATACTTAAGCTGATGCCCCGGTGTGGCCATTCATGAGAGTGCTGAGGACAAAACAGCATTGCCCATGGATGTAACGCCCAGATGCACATGGTGCTGTGCAGCTTCCACTTCCAGAGGGCCATCAGCTACCCCAGGTAGCTGACAGCCTGCTGCAGCTCGAATCCTTTTGCCTTCTTGCATCTTGCGGCTCCAAGGACGGAGGGGAGCGACAGTTCCTTTTCCCCCCTCTCCATTCCTAATCTCCTGCTGACCTAGAAGCAACAGCAGCAACCAACAACCACTCTGTTTTCTCGGTGCTCTCCACGTGGCTCATTCCCATGGCTGTGCTCCCTCTGCTCTGCCATGGGCAGCTCTGCTCAGCCTTCAGACTCGCGAAAAGGCAGTCCCGTGGAGACAAATCGCAGGGAGTGCTGCTATTCTAGCTGCAGCTTTGCTCTGCTCAGACAGTGGAAACCTGAAGAATGGATGCTGGTTGAAACACTCCCTTTACTCCAGCCAAAGAGGGTTTCTCTATAGGTGTTCATGGCTACCCACTAGGTAAGTAGACAAGCATGTACAATAAAACAGTCCGTTGTTGGAGTCTCATTTGTTGATACCAATAGATTTGAAAGTTTGTGAACATGAAGTAAAGAGCAGATAAAGCTTGTTCTTTCTTCGCCAACTTCCTCCGTGCCGGAGCCAAAATACGCCCTGCTATTCCTGTGATAACACACAAGCACAGAGCTCTGCCAATTCACTTCAGCCCTCATTTGCAGCACTCCCTGCTTCCTAAATTCACTTTTGACAGAACCTTTACGGTCTTGTTCTGTTGTCACCCAAAATATTGTAGCCCAGGGATTCACACATGCAGCTCTGTCAATGCACTTCAATTTCTGACCTGCAACACCTGCTATTCCAGCCCTGATCCTACAGCGAGCTCTATTGACGCAGTCTCAGTCCTGATCTCAGCATCCTCTGCTATTTCAGTCCTGTTCAGACAGCTCTGCCAATGCACCTGAGCCTTGAATTGCAGCACCCGACTGCTAATTTGCTTCCAGAGCTTTTCTAAAAGCAGTTCTGCAAAACTGGTTGGTGGCATTTGGTGCTATAGAGACGTGTCTGCTGAGGACGGTGATGAGAAGCTATTGAACTAATATCACCATCCAGAGGCTAACTGGGCCTGTCCCAATTAGCGTGTAAGGATCAAAGCATAAGCGAGCGCCGGAAAATCATTTCCCGATGCTGCAACATGCAAGTCACAAAAGTGAAAGCCACTATTGCTACAAGTCCAAGCAACCCTGCCGTCGGTAACACCAGAACTGCTGAGTGCTTTCAGACAGGAAACAACAGCATTGACAACAAAGCTTTTTTGGCTCGGAAGAAAAAAAAGACTCCCTGAAACTGTAATGCACAGAGCATCGGGTGGGGGAGAGAGGAAAAAATAAAGTGGACATATGACGACGGAGCTTCGTTAATGAGTCTTCCTTGTAATAATCCCATAATCCCAGGACCATTATGGACCCCGTCTATCCTCCAGGTGATCTCTATAAAAGATGATTGAGAGCAGAAGAAAATGGATGCAACGAGCTGGCGACAGAAATACATAAATAACCAAGGTGATTT